TGAGTTGGTGGTTGTGAGCCGGACGGAGTGACCCTTGCCGAGTTGGTCGGTCTTGGACTTCTTGATTGTGACCTGTATTGCCTGCGGCGTGATGGAGAGGTCTTCTGTTCGGAGGCCACCGTCTGACATGGTCGTGGCGGTTGTGGAAGTGTACTCACTTGCCCGGAGACACGCAAAGAAGCCCAGGCAAATAGCTGCCCATACCATGGCTCGGTCGGTCGCGTTGAGGTTAGACCGTATCAGGGCCCTGCGCATAGCTGCCATGTGGGGCAGGAGGATTGGCTTACTGGCGTTTTTAGTTCGGTTGGCCTGTGCACGTGCCACTCCTTGAACTGCGAGGTCCACTCTTCGCGACGAGAGATCTTTGCCGTTTTCTTTGGCAATTGCCCGGATCGCCGACACATACAGGCGGACGGTTGACGCGGCATGTTGACGCGCCAGGTAGGCTACAAACGCCAGCATGATGGTGTCTGTAATCACCTTGGTGCCGACTAGTTGGCAGAATTGGTGCAGTCGTTTCCAGGCTGTCGCGTATGTGGCACGTGTGGACGCTGACAGGCCTAGCCACTGGTAGGCCTGACCCTCCAACATCAGAGGGAGTAGGTGCTCTCGGGCACCGGAGATGGCGTGTCTTCTGCTGTGGGTGCCAGTCGGCGAAATCGGGCCATCTGAAACCGAGACAGAGAGTCAGCAATCGCATTGTCAGTGCCGGGGATGTGGGAGACTATGACGTGAAAGTTGTGTCGGGCAGCAATGGCAAACAAAGTGCGTACCAGCGCCATTAAGTCGGGGCACTTTGTGCGTGAGCGGAGCCAGATGTCGCATACGCTACGGTTGTCGCAGTGGAAGCGGATGCGCTTCAGATGCAGCTGCGGTGCCCATGTGGATGCTGCGGCCACGATGGCAAAGAGCTCCATCCACGCGATGGATCTCTGGGATTGGTGCCTCTGCCACCGGTGTTGGAGCCACCGGCCGGCGAAGAAAGCACCATAGCCGATGGCTCTAGATGCGTCCGTGTAGAGGTCCATATCGGCGGCGGCTGACCACGTGGGTTCTAGGAAGAAGGCGACGCCATTCCAGGCAGGGAGGAAGTCAAGCCACCACTGGATGTCTGCTTTGGCGTCTTCTGTGATTCTGATGTAATCGTTTGGATGCGGGACCGTCGTGCTGAGATCAATGAGGCGGCGCAGAAACATGCGGCCCGCAGGGACCGCCTTGCAGGCAAAGCTGAGGTGACCTATCAGGGACAACAATTCAGACTTGCGGGCGGTAGGGCGGGTATGTTGCCAAGCCTTGAGGGCAATGAGAAGGTCTTCTAACTTGTCGGATGGGAGGCGGATTTCGAAGCGCTCTGTGTCCAGCATGACACCGAGGAATGTCAGGGTTGTACTAGGGCCTTCCACCTTTTTTGGATTGACCGGGAAGCCTAAGTCGTGGCAGGCTACCAGGGCACGGTCAAGCTGGTGCTGTGCGCCGATAGAGTCCGTCGCTCCACCAAGGTAGTCGTCTAAGTAGTGGATGACTGGGGCTACGTCGAAGTTGTGCGACATGACCCACTGGAGGGCGTCTGCGACTTTGTTAAACAGCGACGGTGATGAGCGAAGGCCGAAGGGTAGGCATTTGTCCACGTAATATTGCCCGCACCAGAACAGGCATAATAGTTCCCAGTCCTCTTTCCGTACTGGACAAATGCGAAATGCGTCTTGGAGGTCGACCTTCCACAGATGGCAGCCACGGCCTAGGGACCGTGCGAGATTTACGCCGTCGTCGACCGAACAGTACTGTACAGAGAATTTGTCGACAGGGATACCATCGTTCACTGAGTGGCCCTGTGGTGCTGACAGATGCATAATCAAGCGCCATTTTTGCACCGACCGTGACTTCTTGGGAACCACACCCAAACCGGAGACCTGTGTAAGTGTGAAGGGGGGCTCTTGGTAGGGACCGGCCATGCGACCTGCGGCAATTTCACGACCGATGGCAGCATCGACAATGTCAGGGTGCTCAATCGCTGATTTGAGATTACGAGAGACTCGGAAGGTACGGGGACCAGCAAACCCAATATCGAACCCGTAAGACAAAGAATGTATTACGAATGAGGCAAAAGCCGGATCAGGATGCTGACACAAAGCGTCCTGCAGGTAAGAAACGTTAATGGGGGTTACAGGCGTGTGCAAATGGATTGGCTCGTGAGCGAGGGTGCGTGTAGGAGAGATGTGAGCAGCTGGGCAGAGTGTGTGAGTGCTATTGGCCTGGGTGAGTGTAGAGTTACCGGTGAGTGACTGGAGTGACCGAGTCTCCAAGCTGGGCAACTGCGAGCTATTGGTCGCGGCTGGCGGCGGCTGGCTTTCCTGGGCATGACTTGGCGGGGTGGCTGCCAAAGCATGTGCTGCACTGGTGGCCGTAGCGACAGGCTGCGCGTTGGCAGCGGCCTTGGTTGTAGTCGCGGCAGACAGCTGGGGCGTTTGGGTGAGCGGTAGCCCCTGACCGCTGTGCCGGAAAGGGGCGTTTGGCTGCTGGCCCGTCAGACAGTGAAGCTAGGCTACGGGCGCGGGGGCAGCGAACTGTTAAATGACCTTGCCGGTTGCAGTGACGGCAGGGAGGCAGGATGGAGTTTGTAAACCACTCCGACCAGAGTTCCGGATCTGACGTGGCAAGGCTAGATTTGCTGCGTGCAGCTCTTGCACGGAACGACATGTCGAAGCCAGACCACGCACCGAATGTATAGCGTGCGGCCGCTTTCACGATTGTGCTTTGGTACTTGAATAATTCCGGACCTCTGCCGGGGTCGTGGTGGAGGGCTACTTGGGCGAAGGCTGAGAACGCCTCCAACCACGATGTCAAGTCTACAACTTTCTTTAGACGGGATGACGACGACATGGCAGATGGCACAAGGGTGATGTGGTCCCCCGTCCCCTGCAGGGTGAACCCACTGTCCGGACCCATGCTCGTATCAAAAGCCAGCTCTCCCGGTACCCTACCAAAATCAACGTACTCACGTTTGATAATCTTGTCCGTGAGATGGTCGCTGAGGGCAGGTAATGGGATGGATGGTGGACGCTCTGGGGCGAGCAAATCGCCGTCCAGGAAGAGACTCTCCTGGTCTGGTCTTAGTGCTGAAGCCAGTGAAGGCTGGACATATTCAGGCTCAGAGTCAGGCACCACAACATCACCAGAGACTGGACCAGCCCGCTGTGCTGCTGTTGCTGCTGCTACAGTTGGCTGTGCATGTGGAGGTACCACCGGTAGACCCATCGAAGTTGTCAATGACGTCATGCAGGACGCCACTGCATCTTGCACGACCCGCGAGAGATCTCGGCAGATTGCTGCGACGTGAACGCGGGCGACGAGTCAGGCTGGGTCGCGGCCGCGGGGCTTTGAGTGGCCGGGACTGCAGGACTAGCCCGCCGACGCGTGGTCTTTTTTGCGACCTGGCTCGTAGACTTAGCTTTGTTTCTTGCCTGGGCCGACAAATGCTCATGCAGACGGCTCACCTGGGCTCTAAAATTGCCTGAGCAAGAAAGCCCCAGTTCTCGCAGTCGAGTTTCAACTCCGTCGACTTTGAGTTGGCGGAGATCGGAAAGTGATGGCACGGAGCTCATGGTGACGGCTCAGGATCTCCTGCGACTGCGGAACTTTAGAAATTTCAAATCTCGCCGAGTAATTGCAACAAGGAAGAAAGAAATTGCAAAACAGTTGGATGCACGCAGCGGCACAGCTAGCAAGAGAAAGAGCCGTGGATGGGTTTGTTCCTGTTTTTGATGGCTGTGGCCATCCGTTGGCCCAGCGGTCTCGTGTGAGTACGGTGTTTGTTCGTGCTGCCAGCTCGCGCCCGGCATTTGTTTGCGCTGGCAGCTCGGGCCCGGTGCGCGAGTGAAACCGAACCGTGACAAAGGCTTTCGCTCTTTAGTGCTATTGACTGGCTTTTCATACGATGCCTATTGATGTCTAGAGACATGCTGTCTAGCCTTCCCCTAGTACGCATTCACGGGGCTTTGTTGAAGTTCGTGCCGTGAACTGCCAAAGGGAACTGTTTGAATGGTGCTGGGGCGAGTGCGACATTACGGCGTCCCTGCAGCCGGCCTAATCGCGTTTGTCGCCACAACCGATTTTATCGCATGAGCTGATTGTTTATTAACTGGTAGTGTTAGTGGACAGTATAGCGTAACTTGTAGTTCCTTGGTCTTTCTCTTTTGTATAAATTAAACCTTGGCTCTCCATCTGAGTCCATTCATGAAGTACATTCTTTGGCTTGGCCTAACATGGGATTTGAACCCGCACTATCGCCCTGCATGCATTCCCCCGATACACTTCGCATACATACACATTTTTCCAAGTTGCTTCACGTTATGATCTTGCAGTTGAAAGCCCTATTAATTTTTGAATATGGTGACCAGCTGTCTTTGATGGTACGGTACGGGACATGTATGCTGTCCCCTTGGAAAAACGCGATTCCGCGGCCGCGGCAAATTTCGCAGAAGTTGCCATCATCCGCGGAAATCACCGAATCCACACCCAAGTTTTGCCCGCGGAATCTGATTTTTTAGGGTAAATTACTAAAATTACTACTCAGAAAGCAGCAGAAAAACTACTTTGCGATCTGTTTGAGCACATTTCTCTTGCCAGTGCAGGTCTCTCCAAGATTCTTCGCTTTTTCTTTATTCAGTTCATGACTGCAAAGGATAGTATAAAAAGTGCTCCTTCATGCGACTACATTGTAGTACAGTTGTCATATCCTCTACGAGGAGGGTGAAAAACTTGCAGAAAGTGCCGCAGATTTTTGATTTTACAGCAGAAAATGCCGCAGAAAACCCCCTTTTCCCCGCGGAATTTGCCGCAGAATTTTGAATTCTTGGCCGCGTTTTTCCAAAGGGACAGTGTATGGGATAGTGCCAGGCATGCCGTCGTCAGGCACAAACAAGTAACGTCTTTTGCATAGCTACGGGGATAAATGCTTGATTTTGTGTCTCGGTGTGGATTTTTCTTTCCCAATATTCTAGGACAAAACCTCTCTAGCATCACCATACAAGTGTTCTCCAAAGAAGGCAATATTGAAGTGGAAGGCAACTTGACAACACAAGACATTCGAGATGGCCATGAGAACTTCGAACTCCAGCGTGACGCAAACAGCATCATTGCTCGGATTGGAAGTTTTGCTGCCAATATTTCAGTACAGAGTGATCCAATTTTGGTGGTTGCTCTTCAAAGTAAGTATTTTTATTATGACTACTTTTAATAAATCCCAAAGCTGAAACAGAAATGGCTTCACCTTAATAGGAGGCAAGAAGTACAGCACCGAGATCCATTGGACCGAAGGGTGAAGCACAAACTGAAAGTTTGTAAAAGGAGAGAAAAGTTCATATAATTATTTTAACAAACGGAGAGGAGACAATAATTTGATAATCGCAATCAATAAGACACCCGTGAGAATAAAGAATTCAAAAAAAGCTGAATCGACATTTGTGTATACTTTATTCATGCAATGTAAAACAGTGGAGACAATGTGCAATAAAACGATGAAAGTAGGAAGACATAGTGTAGAGAAGAATTAGGATTCAAATAAGTTTTCGTACAATACTCATCAGGAATCGTCATTGTACTAAAAGACACTGGAACAAATTTGAACAATTATAGAAAACCTAAGGCTGTACTCACACTACTTGAAAGTTTGACGCGAATGTCGCGTTCAAAACTAGACAAAAGTACTTGAAAAAGCCTTTCCAAGCACACTGCACTCCAGTGACGACTTGAAACATTTTTGTCAGCAAATTACCATGGAGAAACATGATTGTCATGTGGTGGTTTTGCAAATCCCGAGCCTGCGTTCCTTCAATTTTTTTGCGCTCGATCAACTTATTTGAAATTTTCAGTTCTTGGGAAAAATAGAAACAGTTATATCTTGCTTGGATCGTGGAGTTCATTCGCCATGCCTCGCGAAGAAGTAGCACATCGTCGACGTCGACGGATGAAGAGGTTTCTCTCCATAGCTCGATGAGCTTCTTCAAGTTGTCAGAAAACACTACGCGAGGCATGATGTCGGTACAAAACAATGGTACAAAAGAAATGCGACAGAAACGGCAATCAACACAACGGGAAGCTACTGGAAGAAAGAAGACGGAAAATACTCGGAAAAAACACCACAGAATTCAGAAATGACAGGCAAAAAAAGGAAACTACAAGTATATTATGTACAGGAGCAGTACGACCACGAGGAAACAAAGCATGAAAAATATTCTGGAGCCTTTCAACGTACAATAGTACTCCGGCCTCCTGACCTCACACAGCTTTCCAAACGGCTTGAAAGCAAAAAACCTCGTAAAAGAGGGTTCCGTTTCCGCTGAAACCTTTCAAGCGGCTTTCAAGGGCTTTTTTCATTTTCGCAACCGTCACGGTGGCAACATTCACACGTACGTCACTTGTATGCGGTTTTTCAAGTAGTGTGAGTACAGCCTAAGTCAGAGAAATAACACATAACAGCAGTACAGTTCACCTAGAACACTAACGGCCAAGCATGGCCACACCAAACACAACATGTTACTTGAACAATTTCAATCTAATTATACTATCTTTCTGTACACACAAAATTATACTATCTTTCTGTACACACAAATTAGGCTTGTACAAACGCTGGTAAATGGCTTCCAAAACTTTTAACTGCAGTCCATAACCATGACGACCATGGCACAATACAGTGAAACAAGAGACAACAACCACAACTAATCCACCATGCAATGCCACTATTGAAAGACCAAGACATCAACAGCCAACTACAACAGAAGCTATGCATTCAACGGACAAGGGCCAAAGGAGGGACGTGACAGCAGGTTGACGGCCGAGTCAAGTGCAATGGACCGGACTAGGCGGGATGGACCAAACAGAGAGAATACAGAGGAATCAGAGGATGGAACGAATGGTGAAGGAAGCAGTGAGTCGGAGAGCAATGAGGAGAGTGGCCGCGAGAGTGCGCGGTTAGAGTGTTGGTGCTGTGTGTAGGTTTTGTAGTAGAAAGTCTTCAGTGTACTCTCTCCGCTAGCTAGTCCTGATTGTTGCAACTTGTATTCCGATTCTCGTTTCACTGTATTGTGCTGTGGTTGTCATGGTTATAGACTACAGTTAAAAGTTTTGGAAGCCATTTATCAGCATTTTTACTAGCCTAATGTGTATGTACAGAAAGATAGTGTCAGGGCCGCGTCGGCAGGTTTGTGACGTGGCTTAGATCAGTCTAGTGGCTACCCAGGTAGACGACCAATATAGTCGCCATCCTAGTTGGCGAGTTCACACAGAACAACAGGTTTCTAATTCCACTTGAACAGTGTTTATTGAAGCAATAATTTTTTCATGGACTGATCTTCTTTTTTAGTGTTTGCACACTCTTGGCTGCTGCTGTGGCACTTTTGTATTTTCGTGCTGCTGTGCTCTGTACGGCTGCACTAGCCGTATTAACTGTCGTACCCAGATGCACACATTCAATCCCTGGCTATGCTGTGGAATTGTTTTCGT